TTCTGCTGATCTTAAAATGCATGCCTTAATAGTCTTATAACCTGAGAGTAGGAAAACTTTGGCCCTACCCTTTGGTACCTGTGGAACTGTAACCCAATTAAGTTAGAACCTTCAGCTAAGGAGGAAAGAAATTTGGAGAGAGAAAAAGTAATAAAAATAACTTGATGCATTAAAAAATATAATTTAAAAAATTACACAATCAGATATTCCAGACAAAAATCAAAATGTTCTCATCAAAGAACCATTGAGATACCATACAATATAATGAAATCACAACAATTCCCTCTGCTCACTGATTCTAAATGCCTGGTAATTTAATACAAGCAGTGATGTTGGCAATACAATGATAGACTTGGGGAACTTATAAACACTCAAGGCTATTAGTTATTCTGAATAAATACTCTAATGTGGAATTCCTGTTTTATGGAATCATTATTAGTAACCTAGGTTTAATAAAACAATGTCTGCCAATTATCATCAGTCCTTATAATTGCTGATGTCTTTGTGATTGCAGAAGAAAACTGTTGATAACAAGATCAAAATGCATTAACCTACTCAAAAGGTTTATTTCATTGCTCAAGCTGTCCTGCCATTGAACCTGCAGGGTTTGGTGCATTTACATTAATAGCGCAGAGATAGTAAAACCTAAGTCTCAGTAGTTTGAATTTTATAGAGTGAGCATGTTGTTGCTATGGTATCCACCTGGGCTGTTTTGAGGTATTGCCTTGTGGAATATTATGGAATTGTGTGAGCAAGTAGTAAACTATGGAACAGGCTCCCTAGGGAGATGGTGGAAGCAGAAAGTTTTGTTTGTTTCAAGACAAATAAGATAAATTTCTGCAGACAAATAATATCGCAGCATACAGTATATAGTTTGGGACACAACATGTCAAATAACTGCGAGGATGGTGGAAGGCGAACTGGATGGACCTTGGTCTTCTTTCGCCAACAAAATCTTATGCTCTTATGAACCAAAATACCTCACATATATCATAATTCCTTTTAAGGAAGTATTGGGGAAATCCAATATTTAATGTGATAATTATCACTGGTAACAATTATCATATCACATACTGTACCACTCTACCTCCATCCTTCTGTTCTGTTTTCCAACCTGGTTCCTGCCATCCTAAGCCGTAAGAATTTGTTACGTTCTTTGTGATGTGAAAACTGCTGGCTTCATTTCAACAGCAACCAGTGCCTCATCCAGTTTTACAACAGAAAAGGCATCTGCGGCACAACTAATTTGGTGTGTCACATTAGACTTAGCTTCTGAGTAGAGAACAACAGCAGTTAATTTCTCAGCAAGCGATACAAATGTAACTCTATCTTCTGTAATAACCTTATATTTTACCTTTGTTCATTGCATTTTCAATACTTCCACAAAATATACAGTCAATTAACCTTACAGTAAATTCTGTGAAGCGCTTTAAGACGTATCAAAGAAGTGATAAGGCGCTATATCACATGCAAGGATTATTCCTATTATTCCAATAATTAATCTGGAAGACGCAAATCTCAATCCCCCACCACTCCCAAAAACCAAAATTCAACTTGAAATCATAAAAAGAAAGGGGGAAAGATATGCTCTTGCTGATTTATAGTATATCTGAAATTGTATGGAGATTCTACAAAATAATTTGTAATAATGCTACTTGTCTCTCAATCCAACACAAAATGGTATTCGGTGGTTGTTGAGAATACTCACAGCAATTTGAAGCGTTTGATAGTAATGGCCTATGAGTTGGAACTAACACAACTTAATGGTTCATTGAGTGTCTAGTGTGACACAGGATCATACAGACCACAAAGGTTCAAGACCCATATAGGTGTTTTACTGTTATTCGTACAGTTCAAATTACTGATACGAGTAAAACGACTCTGTTGCTACTAACAGATAAATTTGGCTTATATGGTTCTAAAAGTCTTCATTTGTTTTGTAAGCAAATGCTCTTGGGGGTCATGTTATCAAACTCATATTATTGCACTTCATTATCTTGTGCAGTCAGCTCAATACAAGGACTCACAAATACAGAATGGCTAAAGGGATGCACATGTCATAACCCATCAATACTGACATTAATGGCAACTTCATTGACTTGAGGGCAGTATTCTTGCTAATATTCACTATATGTCCTTGTTAACAAATCATGGTTACTATCACTTGCCTGGCACTAGCTGTTTGAGTATTATTCAAAGTGAATTTAATCTTTGCGACACATGTTTACAGAAGCAACCTTTAGAAGTGAAAATCCCATGGCACGGATTTGAAACTCATCATTCCAATATCTGAAGTGGATGCGGGCATGTTATAAAAACGTTTTTTTAAAAAAAAAATTGCATTTGATACAGCACCTTATCACGTCATTAAGACGCCTCAAAGCGCTTCACAGAATATGCTGTAAAGTGAATTGATCATATATTTTGTGAGCAAATGTTAATCAAATGAAGAATCAAGCATTTTCCACCTATTTCAACTCTACGTGCTGAAATTCTGTTTGTTGTTTGTGCATTTCTTACATGGGATTTCTCCATTTATAGACCCACTGAGGCAGGGAAATTTAACACAGTTCCTCCCATTGCCAAGCACCTCAACTCAGATACAATATACACATGGAGTAAAGTTTCCACCGTGGGGCCTGTCCACCAATTCACAATGGATTTCCTTCTGCATAGAGTTCAATTTCCCATGGCAAAAATGTGTCTGAAGTCAGAAATCCCTCAGAGAGAAACTGTCGGTTTAGTGTCGACTAATTGCACAATTCCAGGCAGATTTCATACTCTGACCTCACGATGGCTAAGGACTGACTGAGACTGATAAAATTCACGTCACTATGTGGCCAAAAGAAAGATGTCTTTCATCCCGCCAGTCTGGACTGAGTTTGAACTGCTATCCTGGACCTAAAGAATGACATTCTAATCCAGTGAGCAAGCCATTCAGCCTCAGAACGCTCATCAATCAAATATTTTTGAGTTGTTTTGAACCAATTTGTTTGTCAATGCTGCATTCTTGGCTACACATTTTTAAAAAAATGTTAGGCATAAGGTGGATACTTTCTATCTTAAAAGATTCCTAATAATCAAAGGTAATACTTTTCTAATCTGGGATAAAGTCTCATATTTCATTTCCACCACACAAAGAAAATTTACGGTATTTCAATTTTGTATTGTGCCACCTTGGGAATATCTTCAATAAGTAGTTGCATTGCAATTTCTCTCTTCATGTGAATCAAATTTATGTCACATCAGTGCTGAAACTGTGTTATAATTGTGATTAAAAATCAGAAATCTAAATGCCATCTGAATTTAAGCAACTTCACAAGGTGGTTTTACATTACCAATGTCAAGGCAATCATCTCTTTATTAATGTTCAACATTTCAATAAAATTCATGCATCAGTTAATAGAACTGTACAATGTATTAATCCCAAACCATGCAGCTCTATAGACATGGTCAGCTTTCATATCTCAAACATAGGTATTAATGCTAAATATATGCTTCCAGAACAACTAAGCCATAAGGTCTGATAATATTTAAGCTCTAAGCTCCATATTTTTCTAAAGGAGCCAGCTATATGGCTATTTTAATTTGAAGGTTCAGAACTTTTGTCCAGCACTCTGCTCAAGGTTAAATGCTCAAGGACACTTGCTGTCTATTCATATTAATTATAGTGTACAATAATGATTAAATATTTCCATTGACCTTTTTCCTTTGAAACTACAAAGAAGTGTGAAATTTCCATTTTGTCTTCCAGTCAGAGTGACATGCACATATTTAAACGCAACGCTGCATTAGATTATAGTTTTTTTCTCTGCTTTAATGGGCTGTTCTTGTAGGCTTCAATTCATTTTTAAATGTCCTTGTCCATCTATCTGGGTACTGCTCGGTACCAAAGTAAGACTGATGATGATAATAATCTCCATTAATGAGAATTAGTGAGCAATCAATATAAATGAAATATCCAGTTGACATCTCATACATTGCTGATTTCAGAAATACTCAAAATTCAACTTCAAAAGATTTTACTGTAGATTTATAGTTTTTGTTATGCAACCATGACGTGAAAGCTCAAAGGGAACGAATATGAGAAATTATATCCTTCAACAGGTTTACCACACATAAAGTAAATAGTTTGACAGTTTAAGGTGGGAGTTTATATTTCCTATAAATAATTGCAAATACCACATAATCTTCTTAACAATAACCAGTTAAATATATAAATAGCTCCAGGCACTAAGCCATGAAGTATATTTTGTTGCAAATAAACTTGCTATTTGTATTCTTCTCAAATCAGAAGAAACAAATAAGACACGTTCATTTTAAATGTATTAATACACACTTTAAAACATATTTTCATTGTAGATAGTGAAATTTAAAGTCTAACATAACAGAAACAAAATCCCTACTTTTATATCAGGATATTTGCAAGGCATTTGGAATTATCATTTGTGAGCGCACATAATCTCATGTGAGGCTTATATTTTCTTCATGTGCGTTTAGATTGAGTAGCGCGTGAGCAGCAAACATCCAAGAGATCAAACCATGGTGACAGATAGCATTCCTTTGAACTAAATTCTCTTGTGCTGATCAGAGCAGAAGCTTTAAAAATGCTGTAATTATTCTGTCTGTAATAACTCCTGCATTATTTTTACATGCACGTGTATATATTTTTGAATTTTATAAAAAATGGTATACATTTCCTTACGTCTCATAATAGTTTGCATCTGTATTTAGCTAAAGATATTTTGTGCCATTTTGTTTAATTATTATTTCTCTGAACCCTTTGATTATGAGCTAACTTCATTATTACAGGTTTTACAGTATCAAACACTGTTAGTAATGCTGGAAAGAGTCTGACCAATTTGAGAGCTGAATAATTCTACATACATGAATCTATACAGTTGTAAAGTGTTTGACAACTTGAATTTATGCGGTGAAATGATGAACACTGATCTCATGTACAACATATTAATAGTTTTCATCTTGTTTCTAACACTCACCTGCTGCTGAAGTGATAGCTGTGTGTCGCCTGTTGAATTCTCGTTTAATTTCATCCTGGGCTGGGTTTTCTTCCAAGTACTGGGAGCTGGAAAAAACAAAGAGGCAAAACAATGCTTGAAATTATGTTTTATAATCAGAAATAAACATTTGAGAACATTGAAATGATGTTAAGTGGAGGTTTTATTTTGCAATTAGCTCCCTTTTCTCCCTCTCCCCTCCTTAAAGCAAGACTCCCGCTGAGATAGTTTAATAAATAGCACAAGCACAACAATATCCAACAACAACAGCAGCAACTTGGATTTATAGAGCGCCCTCCACGCCGGACCAAATCGCCAATTTTCACATGGCAGAAAAGGCTCATCAAGCCAAATGACCTACACCTATTACTGGATTACTATGTGAAAACCTGAGAAGGAGTTGTTGTCAGATAATTTGATCTTTGACGTCATTACAAGACCAATACAATCCAGATATCCAATGCCCAACATGGTTCCTTTCCAACAGGGTCCACTAGATTACAATCAGTGACTTAAATCTTGGCAGGAGAGCCAAGGCCAACTGTAGCTGCCCTGATTGTGCTAAAGAAGATGAAATACAATACCTGATCTTTGATGCTATGTAAGGTTCTGAAGAACGCCAGTCTGTGTTCAGTTGTCCTACCTGTAAATATACATATGTATAAACTGTAAAATGCATCAATAAATCAGACAACAAAGAACATTAAAATAACTCATACTGAAAGTACACATTGGATAAAATTAAACATACATATATTATTCAATGGTAGGTTTTTCCACCCAATAAATGTTATTGTTGACTAACAAACTCACTTTCTCTTACTCAGTGAGTTTTGCCTGTTCTGCCAAATCGATAGATATGAGCCTCACATATCATGGATATGTACCTTTCATTGTTGATAGTCACAGACTCACGTTAAATGGAATCGTAATGGACCATATATGTTGCTGATACATTGGTGAACTTATGATATAAAATGGTTTATCGAGCTATCACTACTTACCACCTTTCTCACATTCCTTAAGAGCACTTTGCTCTTCAGCTCCTAGTTTGTACAACTCACCTCATCAGGTACATTAGTCCATTTATTTGCCATCTCCCCTCTCCATTCTGCAAGAAGTGTTTCTGTATTTGTGGGGTCATTTTGTAGGGTAGCTGTACTGTATGGTGCTAAAAAGACAAAATCTCCCTTACGTGATAAGGGATCTGACCGAACTTTATAGGTATATGTTCTAGAGAGGGATCCATTCCCAACTAACTCAACGAAGTGTGGCGTTCCTTTGTAGTCTGGCACTGTCTGAAGGTACAAGTGAGAATTGGGGAATGGATCATTGGAATTCCAGCGACTGAGACCGCAACACGAGGAGGAAGAACTGCAACAGTCAGACCAATTGCTGTCACAGTGGCACATGGTGACGATAAGGACAATCAGAATCACCAGAAGAATGGAAGAGGTTAAGGCTAAGGTGACTATTAAATAAAATGCCAAGTTGGAAGCTTTCCCCAAGTTGCTGGTTTGTTCAGTTTGATCCGAAAGAGTTTCTCCGGCAGCATCTGTCACTGATACAATGATGGTGACGGTAGCAGAGAGAGGTGGATGCCCATTGTCTTTCACTTGGACAAGAAGCTTTTGAATGGAGTCATCATTCTCCACAAAACGACGAGTGCTCCTGATTTCCCCGGAATTGTGCGTTATGGTGAACAGGCCTGGATCAGTCGCCTGGAGGAGCTGAAAGAATAACCGTGCATTCTGGCCGGAATCGGCATCGGTGGCCACCACTTTGGTTACCAAGTGACCCGGCTCTGCAGATTGAGGTAGGACTATTTTGGAGCCATTGGTTGTCAATGGAGAAATGATGACAGGTGCATTGTCGTTCTGATCCAGAACAATTACGTTCAGGGTCATGTTGCTGTCACGTGGAGGTAATCCAGCATCTTGAACTTGGACCAGGATCTGAAAGTTCTTGAATTGCTCATAGTCAAAGGAGCGTTGGGAATAGAGGACACCAGTTGCTGGACTGATGGACACATAGGCTGATGCAGGCAGATCATTCACCTGGGTGGTCAGGACTGAATATGACAAGTGTGAATTCTGGTCCTGATCTGGGTCCAGGGCAGAGACAGAACCGATGGAAGTTCCTGGTGGGCTGTTCTCCTGCACATAGACGGTGTAAGAAGCCTGTGCAAAACGTGGCGAATTGTCATTAACGTCTGATACCTCAACCAAAATGGTTTTGTTGGTGGAGAGAGGCGGGGTCCCTTCATCTCGACAGATGATGTTAATGTTGTACTGCAAATCCGTTTCCGGTCCAGGGCACGGTTGGTGGCAAGGGTGTAGGTGTTCTTCAGAGATGTCTTGAGTTCGAATGGCACATGGTTTGGGGCGTAGCATTCAGCGTGGCCGTTTGGGCCGGAATCCCGGTCAGTTACGCGGATCAGAGCGATCATGGTGCCGAGCTGAGCATTCTCAGGGACAGGGCTGGACACTGACATCAGCGTCACCTCGGGCGAGTTGTCATTCACGTCACGTATCTCCACCATCACTTTACATACTGCGAAATGCAGGCTGTCTTTGGCCGCTACATTGATCTCATAAAGATTGTTTTCTTCGAAATCCAACACTCCTTTGACCCTCAACTCCCCTGTTTTGGATCCCAGGCTGAACAGGTCACGAACCCTGTGTGGGGTGCGGCCGCTGAAGGAATAGGTAATATCTCCATTGGGACCTTCATCCAAATCGGTGGCATTGAGCTTGATTATCAAGGCCCCCACTGGCGCATTTTCCATCAGACTGACTTTATAGATGGTCTGACCAAACACCGGCCAATTATCGTCCACGTCGAGAACGGTAATAACAAACTGTGCCGTGCCAGATCGCTCTGGAATCCCGCCATCAATGGCTGTCAGGCGCAACCGATGCGTCGCAACCTCTTCCCTGTCCAAATACTTCTTCAGCAGAAGCTCCGCGACTATTCCGCCATCACTACTATTCTGAACTTCCAGCGAGAAGTGCTCATTCGGACTCAAGTGGTAAGTCCTGATGGAATTGGCTCCCACGTCTGGGTCGTAAGCGCTGGGCAACAGGAAGCGAGTTCCCGGGGGAACCGATTCCACAATCTCCAATTTGAGCTCCTCGTTGGGGAAACTGGGGGCATTGTCATTGATATCCAATATCTCCACTTCCGCGCTGTATAGGGACAGGGGGTTTTCGATGACGATTTCGTTGTTAAGGATGCATTTGGCGCTTTTCCCGCACAGCTTCTCCCTGTCTATTTTAGTGCTCACAAACAAATCACCGGTTTTCAAGTTGACATCGAAATACCGTTCACTCGCCTCGGACATAACGCGGAGCTTGCGACTAACCAGGTTCTTTACGTGTAGCCCCAAACCTTCAGCGACATTCCCAACCAAGGCGCCGTATTCCAGTTCTTCGGCAATCGAAAAGCGGATCTGCCCTGAGACATTCTTCCAGACGCAAAGCAGGAAAACCAAAGACCACGTTTGCATTCTCTGTCCGAGTTAATCCGTGCATTCGGAATGCTGTGCCAATGCAAACTGGGAAAACACTCCGACCACCTGTATCCACTTTCAGATCCGACCGAACTAATTACGGCTTAAAGCACTTCCTGAGCAGTTGAGGAACACTGTGTTGAAAAACATGGCTGTTTTTTTCAGAGACTGATGTAAACACACCAAACCCCTGCCTTTCCTTCTTTCCGAATCTCTGCTGTACGCGGTGCTGAGGAAAAGAGAGGTGGGACTGGGAGCGGAGTTTGAGTACCTCATTGGTACACAGCGACACAAAGAGTCCTCGCCAATAATTGCACAGTACTCTCGTTAAAGCGAGACTGCGCCAACCGTGCGGGAGGAGGTGCGCATTCGGCATATTATTCCAGCAAATGCAAACCATTTCTCTCGTACCCAGACCAGAGTAATCTTTGCCACATGCTGGTGATTTGCTCCGAAAGTAACGCTTTTGATTCCAAAAGGCGGAATGAAAAGTAATTGCTGCTTTAAATCCGTCAGATTTCTGTGAATAAAATGGAGGAAACGGCAACTTTTTTTTGTGGGGGTGGGTGGGGCGTGTAATCAAATGTGTTACCGTCCCTCTCCCCCACCCCACGTACACTCAGCATTTAAAATAATTGAACCTTTAACTGTTTCAAAATCCGGCTTTGCTTTGGATTGTAAAAGTAACAATCGAGTCTGGGAAAATGTAGTGGCTTTGTGTTACATGTGTGACTCCCGGTCCAGTGTTCACAGACAGTTGCTGATGACACATCTGTTATGCAGATCCATCAATTATCTTACATTATAACCAGCGCATGATCTTAGATATTGTTATTTTTGTTCACAGACATCTGTGTGCCTGTAGGATACCCATTACAATCGCCCCTTAATCCGTCTTATTGCTGCTTAAATAACAACTCGCTTGTTTCCACTCAGCAAATTGCAGTTCTTTTGCACGTTGAGAGGGCAATTTCGGAATGTCGTTTGGCGCTGGGAATCGGCGAGACAGCGAAAATCCTGCCAACAGGAGCAGAACTGCGATGCTATGACACACTGTGTGTTAAGTATTCCACACACGAGCAACGGTTCAGACAAGAAAGGCAATGAAAGTGTTCACTGGAAAATTAATTTCTCTTTTCACCAGCTTGGGCTGCAGCAGATTTAATTTCATCTGAACTTTAACGTTTCTGTGCTGACTGCTGGGATCTCGCCTCTGACAGTCCCGAGATTAATCAGAATAAATACGATACTTCATTACTTCTCCGCACCTTGGCTGTACAGCAAAATGCCCCATGATCATGTCAACAGCATAGTCAAAGACACAACCCCTGCAGGACGTGCCCAGTCCAGACAGACAAAGCACCTGTCACTCGGGGACATTGAAACACGACAGGCAAGTCCCCAGTATTCATTTCACAAGAGAAAAAAAATATATTGGAGAAAGTGACAATAATTAATGACCGAAGAAAGCGAAACTTGGACTATGATCCTGTCCTGCTGCCTCAAATAAGACTTATGGCAAACCGAGCAAACATTTAATAACCACATGATTAGGATTCGATTAAAAGGCAGATTGGTGATAACTTGATCTATTAAATGGCAATTCTACACCTTAATTGTGATGTAGTTATACAGCTAATAACCGGGTTTAAGATTTTCTAGTTATTTTCAAAAGATTAATAACACGATAAGGATCCTGTAGTTGCAGCATTTCTAATTGTTACAGAATGTTGAGAAGCACAGGACTTGTGCATATCTCTTACAAATGAAGTGCCAATCCAGATGGAGTGGGTTGTCTGAGTTCATTGACAGAGTCATGATCTGTACCATTTGTGGAGTTATAAAAGTTAACTTATCAAAGCAGATTAAGAAACTCAATCTTTTTTCAAAGCATAATGGAGGACTTTTTAACAATTTTCCCCAAAGGACGATGAATAATCTATGCATTTAATCCCCTGATCATTAACAAACAAACTTCAAAAACTCCAAAAATATCAATCTTCCACTATTCAGCCCTAGCCTTCGATCAGGGCAATAATACCTCAATGTGGGATTGATACACGTTGCTTGTGGGCACTGTAAATGGGGAGAGAGCTCAAATCTGGATTTATATACCCTTTAATATATCTGATGTATACTAAACACCCAGCTTGTCGGCCTACGCAACTCCTCCCTCCATAGGCTGTGGATCATCCAGAACTGCAGCTCGTGTCCTCTCCCGCACGAGGCTCCATGACCCTATCACTCCCATTCTCGCCTGATTCCACTGGCTTCCCATCACACAGAGGATGCAGTTCAAGTTCCTGGTCTTCGCCTTCAAAGCCCTCCATGGCCTTGCTCCCCCTTAACTCTAAGACCTCCTAAACCCCTACCAACTTGTCAGCTCCCTCCACTCAGTGGACTTCAGCCTGCTGCACATCCCCTGCCTCGCCCACCCCAACATTGGCGGGCAGGCCTTCAGCCACTCTGCCCCCATGCTCTGGAACTCCACCCCACAGGCCCTCTGCCTCGTCTTCTCCCTTACCTTGGACCACCTCAGGTCTGAAACACTGATTGTCCAGCACCTTGGGATGTCCTCCCGATGTGAAAAGCGCTATATCAAATGCAAGGATTATTATTATTATTATTATTGTCCCTCTGGGTTTTTATCTTCTGTGGGATTTGCTGCATGCATACTTGCTCATTCCCCAAAACAATCAAGTTAAAACTTCAGAATAATCATTCATTTTCACGGTTCTTCGACCTGCTGTTGTTCAAAGACAATATTCTCTCCCCCACCACCCACCCCGCCAACTCCAAGTTGACATGTTTGGCAATAGAATGCCAGATTTGAGCCCACCCTCTGTGCCAACCTATGCTGAATAGTTTCTAGAATTAGGTAAGCAGACTGCTTCTCTCCAGGGAGAGAGTACACATTCTAATAAATATCTTTTAAGTTTCACATATAGGTGGAATGGTATGGTGATGGATTCTGCATGTTTCAGACACCCTTCTGACCAACTCTCTTCCCCACCTCCTCCACCACCACCACCACCCACACATGCATATAGTACAACAACAAGAACAACAACAAGATTACATTTGTCAGGAGGACGTCCCAAGGCACTTGACATAGTACAGCATTTCAGACCCGAGCTGGGGTTGGGGGGTTAAGGGAGGGGAGGGGAAGGGGAGGGGCTGATGGCATGGTCGAAGATGAGGGTCTTGAGGCGGGATTTGAAGGAAGCTATTGAGGGGGCGAGGCGGAGTGATTGGGGGATGGAATTCTAGGGGTTGGGGGCAGAGTGGCTGAAGGCTCTCCCGCCAATGGTGGGGCAGGTGGGTCGGGGGAAATGGAGCAGGCCAGAGCCGGCTGAGCAGAGGGAACGGGTGCGTTGGTACAGGGTTAAGAGGTTGCAGAGGTAGTGTGGGGCGATGCCATGGAGGGCTTTGTATGTGAGGACCAAGATCTTGAACTGGATCCTCTGAAGGATAGGGAGCCAGTGGAGTCAGGCGAGAGTGGGGAGATGGGGTCATGGAGTTTTGTTTGGGAGAGGACACGAGCTGCAGAGTTCTGGATTATCAGCAGCCTGTGAAGGGAGGAATTGAGAAGGCCGATAAGCAGGGCATTTTCATAGTCGAGCCTGGAGGTGATGAAGGCATGAACAAGAGTTTCAGTGGCCTGAGGGGTGAAGTAGTGGTCCTGGAGTTGAGGGTGGGGGCAGAAAGATAGAGTTGGGTGTCATCCACATACATGTGGAAGTTGACCCCATGTCCGCGGATGATGTCACCAAGGGGGAGCATGCAGATATGAAAGACGAGAGGGCCAAGGACAGAGCCCTTGGTGTTACAATAAGTAACACATGGCCATTGAGATCAGTGAGTCAAAATATTTTTGAAAATACCCATAGAGTGACTGCCATGCATATACACATAATCGCATCTATTAGGAGAATATTTTCACAGTACAGTGTTTGTAAAATGTTTTGGTATATACATTGTATGAAAAATAAGTTATGAAATCTCTCAGTTTTTGATACTGGAGCTATTTTTACAAATAGTCACTGTATATATTAAAATTAATTAATTATTCTTATTTCAAAATAAGAACCAGACTTTTAACATTCCTTAAGTTTGAGAATCTGCCCGCAAATAGTAAACTATTTCAGACCTTCATTTACATGAAAGGAATCACTGTATTGTTATTCCTATTTGTTAAATAGGGAGAATTAATCATAGCCACTAACTACTGGTAAAATATCCTCCTTTTCCCTGTAAATTAGACAATAGTAGGAAGTAATGTACATGAACCAGCACAAACTTAGCAGTATAACTGCAGTTTAAAACTCTGTTTATACTGCTGTAAGTCATTCAGAATCATTGCCAAACAGTAAAGTAATTAGTACCAAGAAACAACATTCCTTTTTGTGTGCACTGTAATCACTATTGCTGGGATTGTGCATAGCATCATGCACATGAAACTCAATGCAAATAAGAACTCAGAGAGCTGCTACCTCCATTTGCTGATGCTAAACATGCTATTAAACATCTATTAATAAGATATAGTCTTCAACAACATTAAGAATCATTACAGCAGATCATTTGATTAGCTGTGAACTTTCAACGAGGCATTTCAAACCAAGATTTGAGTGGACAGCAAATGCTTTTCACATTCTGCTTCATGAAGCTGTACATGCACAGAACCTGCGTTTCCTTCATCAATCCCAGATGTACCCTGCAACCAGGGCAACACACAGACTCCAGTCTGTGGTTTCCAAATACCTCTGCTATAGGCAACTGTAGTGTAACTGACTGGGGTATTACATCTTTCAAGTTCATAAAGCTTAGCACTCACTTCATAAATATCTTGATGTCACAATAGAAAATGTGGCAGGGTCGGTTTTCTGGAAGTAATATATCAAGGGATTGAAGGGCCTTCTTCATGCGAACCTCTCGAAAGATGGATATCTACGCTTTATGTAGAGCCATTATACAACTCTTGGATTTTTTTGTATTACAAATATTGAATTTATTCAGTTAATTGTATATATGTCCTGTCTTATGAATCTGGTTTCTAAAGTTAGATAGAATTCCACTACCTTCCCAAATTTAAATAGGATAATGTGATGCAATTACTATTTCTACCCCCACCTCAACAAATAGCTCAGTGGATAAATGCATTGTTTAGTGTGGCATTCATTCATAGCAACCACACACTGGCAG